GAGGTGTAAGGAGCCTCTGGGACAACTTCAAGCGCACCAACATCTGAATTATAGGGGTGCCAGAAGAAGAGAGAGAGCAAGATATTAAAAACCTATTTGAAGAAATAATGACAGAAAATTTCCCCTACCTGGTGAAATAAATAGATTTGCAAGTCCAGGAAGCACAGAGAATACCAAACAAAAGGAATCCAAAGAGGACCACATCAAGACACATAATTAAAATGTCAAGGGCAAAAGACAAAGAGAGAATCTTAAAAGCAGCAAGAGAAAAACAGTTAGTTACCTACAAGGGAGTACCCATACGATTGTCAGCTGATTTCTCAACACAAACCATGCAGGACAGAAGAGAGTGGCAAGAAATATTCAAAGTGATGAATAGCAAGAACCTGCAACCGAGATTACTTTATCCAGCAAAGCTATCATTCAGAATAGAAGGTCAGATAAAGAGCTTCACGGCTAAGAAAAAGCTAAAGGAGTTCATCACCACCAAACCAGCATTACATGAAATGCTGAAAGGTATCCTTTAAGAAGAGGAAGAAGAAAAAGGAACTCTTGCCATTTGCCACAACATGGATGGAACCGGTGAGCAGATAAATACCACATGATCTCACTCATTTGTGGAATATAAGGAACAACATAAACTGATGAACAAGGACTGATCCAGAGACGGAGAGGCGTTGATTGGACTGTCGGGCTTTGGAGGGAGGGTAGGGGAGGGTGGGGGTAAAGGGGAAAGAGCAACCAAAGGACTTACATGCAGGCATAGAGGCCTAACCAATGGACACGGACAACGGGGGCGGGGAGGGGGGGCGGAGGGGGATGTGGGGACAGGGACACACATGTTATATCTTAATCAATAAAAAAAAAAAAAAAGATCCCCAGGGGATTCTAATGCGCAGCCAAGGTTGAGAACCACTGCTCTACTTGTTCCCCTACTGCCTCATTAGACTTGGCTGTACAGTTTATCAGAGAGAAAGTACTAAGTTTCTTATCACATTCATTTGATCTTACATTAAGTCATCTCACTATTCAGCTCTTCTCTGACCCAATTTTTCTTAGGGCAGAACTTACTCTCTGTAACCTTCTATTCCCTGTGGGATGTTATTCCAACACATTTGCTTAAATGAGGAAGAGATTCCTTATACATTCCCCCGCTTATTTCAAATATTTATTGAGCATTTATTATGTTCCAGGTACTGGGGACATAGCAGTCAACAATAGGTTGTCATGACTGTTTTTTCCCCCAAAACAAAACACATTTTTTAAAGAACTGTTTCCTGGCCTTCTGCTAGTGGGTGGGTTTTTTCTTGTGAAGCTGGTATCAACATTAGGTTGCATCAAATGATAAAAGAGTTAGGGCCGGCTCCCCAGTATTTTCCACACCAACTTATAAAAACTGAACAGCTTTCAATCAAAATCAGTGATTTCCCTTAAAGAGTCCTTACAAAAATGTTAACAAGGGATGTAACATAATTAAAATGAGGTTTTAAAAACGATTTGAGGGAAGCGAGAAGCCAGAAAACAGTAGACTCAGCAGGCTGTGGTGATAGAGCTGGTATATGAGGTTGATGGCAGGTACTGAAGAGGCAGCAGTGGGAACAGCGAGGATGGGAGAGCCCTAACAAATAGGACTCGACACTCCTTGATGATAAATAGATGGGTTGTGGAGGCTAATAGAAAAGGAAGAGACAATGGTAAGTTCCAGTGAAATGTTACTGGAATAATGAAAATACCATTGCTAGAATAGGGGAAAAGGAAAGGGAATTCAATTAAGGAGAAAAAATGATGAAATTGTTTTATGACCTACTTAATTGAGGTGATAGCAATTCTGGTGATGGCAGGAAATTCAAATGGAAATAACTAAAGGTTGTTGAAGTATATTTGAATCACCTGAAATTCCCTGATCAATAATTCTGTTATGTACAATTTAAAATGTTAGTATTATTTGAAGATTTCAATATGTGTACTGAACACTGGTTAGTAATGGGTATTCAAACTATATGTTCGATTTAGTGAAGTCTTTTTTTCCAGCTTTCAACATTATAGAGTTTTTGTTGTTGTAATATGCTTCTTATCTTTTGACTGGAAGTTTCATGGTCATAGCAATAAAATTTCCTGTAAAAATACATATTCATTTAATACTTTATTTTTCCATTATTACTAAAAATGTAGTAATTACTAAATTTAATCCTATAGGAGTGAGTGAAAACACAAAAACTTGTGTTTTCCTTTATATAAAAATAGATCTATTGATCATAATAGTTTAATTTTATGAATGTTGTTACCTATGACTATATATTTTAAGAATAGATAAAATACAGTTTTTAAATTATACTTAAAATGTCACTGATAATTATTTCACTATAGTTATATTGTTCTTACTTTTCTTTTGAAAGCAAATGTAATACTTGCCAATGCCATGCTTAAGAGTGGGCAATGTTGCACCTTCTACTTAAAATGAAGTCTGACTTTTCAGTTGTCATAACATACAGTGAATGGTGGAATTTTGACGGATCTTGAGTATGTGTCTAGTGCCCCACTTTTCCTATTAATAGTGTTTCCTACTAGTAATATCAGTCAGCTAAAAACACTGTTACTCAGAGAATTATGTAATAGGTTAATAGGATCTGGTTTAGAGTATAGCCCACACTGATTGTACATTTGTTATAAAATGGCAACAGCAAATATATGGTCATTTATAGAAATGTTATGAAGATAATTTTTTAAGTGTCTGGAGGGGTATTTGAGTTCACCAGAAGGAAGGCACTGTAAAAAGTAATG